GAAATATATTTTTTATGATGAATTTTTTTGTTCATAATTAAATATGTATGTATCTGTGACTAATTTTTTAAATTTGTCATAATTGTGATAAATTATAGTGATGATTTCAAAATTCATTACAAATTTCTGTCACCAAAAACCATTTTTCTTGTAGTGATATCAAATCACAAAAATCACTATTTATCTTTTATTTATTTTTATAATAAATAACAAATTTCATCAACTTTTACCATAAATACTAAATATTATCCTAACATCACTTTCCATAAATTCTTAATAAAAATCTTAGAATTTTGGGAAGCCACCAAAACCCTTAATAGTTCATCAATATGATGAATTTCAAAATTCAAACATTTTTCAATTGTAATTTATTTATTATCCAAATTACTGCTTCATAAAATATATCAAAGACATACAAAATGAAATTTTATTTCAAATTATAGGATTGCAACTCATAACATAAATATATATATATATATAAACACTTATATGCAAAGCAAAAAAAAAAAAAAAAAGAATTTCCCTTTTTTTTTGAAAAAGAGTTAAGGTATTTAAAGAATGGAAAATGTTTGATACACTTTTCGGTTCAACACTCGATTCAACACATTCCGGTTTAATTATTAAAAATATAATATAAATACAGTCAATTCAGCCGGTTCATGTATCTTGTGTGCATGATTGTATTATCATACTTGTCTGTTTTTAATTTTAGACGAAAAAATAGTGATTTTTTAATGACTAAATTGGAGGGTGTTGAACCAAGTATTGAAATATAAGGTGTACCAATCACTGTCCTTAAAGAATTCAAAATTTAGCAAAAATAATTTTAGAACAATGACAATTTTAATAAAAAATTATGTAAAAATTTCTATTGGACATTCCAAAACTTCAAATAAGGTTTCCATTGGGAACTTAACAAAAGTGACGAATGGTAGGATTAAGGGTCTGTTTGATACAGCGGTTAAAATTCAGCGGATAGCGGATAGTAGTAGCGGGTAGCGGGTAGCGGGTGGCGGGTAGCGGGTAGCTGGTGGCGGTTAGCGGGTAGCGGGTGGCGGTTAGCGGATAGCGAGTGGCGGATAGCGAGTGGCGATTAGCGGATAGCGGATGGCGGATAGCAGAAAGTGAATAGCGAATGGTAAATAGCGAATTCGATAAATATAACTGTTTGGCTATACAATGGTTA